TTCCAGTGATCATGAAAAGATGTTTTTGTGACCACAACCAAGCTTGTTTTTGCAGTTGTCGGAGCTTGTCAAGATCACAGAATTGTTCTCCAACTTCTTTTCTCTTGATCAAGAGAGAACCTTTGCTTAATATTTACTCATTCATTCAAATTAGAATATATATACTGCATATATTCATGTCTTGCGCTGTGCTAATGTGTGTGTCTCCTCTTCCTTATGTGCCCAGGTAATATCACTTTGTCTCATACAGTCGTTAAACTTTGAACAGCTCCTCTGGGAGGACATAGAGGCAGAGGAAGGAGAGAAAGGAGGCTTCACGGCTGGTTTAGTGTTTCTTTCTCTGCTCTTTTGTTATCTTCTAGTCTTTCACCTCAACTGAGACGCCATTATTTCCTCCATCTCGTATGTAAAGAATTACCTTATCTTCCCTTCAGACATCACAAGACACATTATCTCCATCTGTCTCTCTTTCTCTTGTTTTTTTTTGCCTCTTAATAGAACAAGAAATCACACACCCTCTCTATAATCACTTACCCAGACAGGTTCTGTGGTTCAATAAGATTATTGGCAGGTCTCAGCTTGAGAACAAGTGGATAGTCAATCAGAAAACGTGTCAAAACTCACAGCATGAAGCTTAAGTCATGAAGTCTCCTACTCTGCTGTCTCTCTCTCTCCCCGTCAATTTGTCTGCCCTGCTCTCTCCAGATACTTGTGATTGATGCCCTGGGACGTAATTATTGAACAGCAAATCCCACTCCAATTTATGGCATTAAGGACATAAAACGGCCACTTCAATTACTCCCCAGGCCAGAATACGACTGAATTAGGAAAAGGAGAGCAAATCTGATGAGGCTGTCTGAAAATACTCCATCACCCGGCGAGAATATTAAAAGACATGAATCCAAGCGACACTTCCTGAGAGTATAGCACTTTGATGTATATGCGGTAAATTAGTGAAAATGAATGCAGAGAAAGTTGCTGCCTTGCTGCAAAAGTTTTACTCAGAAATATGTGCAAGGAAAGTCAGAGTCTTTGGTGGATATTTGACATTTGGACAGCAACAAGATGTAAACTCAGGCAGGTTATCAATGTGTGCTGAGACCTGCTGCTTTCCAGAGAGAGTTAAAAACTGCAAACGCCCTGTTCTTTCTAATCTAAACACTGCTGCTATCCTGACAGAGATTTGACTTAGGGAGATTAATGAGTTCACTGCTGGGTTAGGACAGTGGTCACAGTGGAAATTTATCTCATGAACTCATGAATATGGAGGCCACCCCAGCAAGCTTCTTCGAATAACATGGAAATAGTCTGTAACTGTCTGTCTTATAATATTGAAACTAGTAAAGAAAACATGCATGCATGCTACATTAAGAGCCATGACCAGAATGGGAACAGTTTAGTGTAGGCTGACATTGATATAGTGAAAGCAAGGTCACTATCATCCTAGCAGCAGATGGTTAGCTGCGTACATCTTTTTTTTTTTATCTCTGGTCCTTTTGGTTACTGATGCCATGCTAATAAGTTTTCTTTTCTTTTCTTCTTTCTGTTATTTTTGTATGTGGACTTACTTACTTACTGTACTACTATTTCAATGTCATACATGCTTGTTGCTATTTTACGTAACCAACTAGCTATGTAGGAAGAGGATGTTCTGCTTTCTTGATGCCACCTACAAGGCGATTGATTGATTGATCACCTGCTGTCAGTGAACACATCAGAGCTATATTTAATTAGCTGAACAAATGTGAGCTGTGGGTGGAGATTCAGATGTCTGGAAATCTTTCACTTCTGAAAAATTAACTCAACATTTTACATGAGAAGCACTGTAATGTTCACATAATGACCTTGGACATTTGAGTTTTCTAGCTTCTTACTTTGAGGTATTCACACTGTCCAAAATGTTAACCTATGCCCATTGTGATCAAAGACTGAGCTTTAACTTTAAACAATTCAGCCCTGCAAACTCCACTGACATTTTAACATCTCTATGAGCTTGGTCTAAAAATCCATCACCGTTTTGACTCTCTGATTTTATATCAATACTTTTTGCATCTATCTGAACTTTTGAAATGCATCAGAGGGGGCTGTTTTTCTGGTCAAATGGTTGCAGCTGTACACAGCCTGAAGGAAAAATAGTGGCACCAGAATTACATGGAGGGTTTTTACACAGAGTGTTTATACAGGGGAAAGACACACACCCACAGCAGGAGATGGAGGAATGATGGAGCAGTTAGTGGGCATGAAACTGAGCCGTAAGATAAAGGCCCCTCCTAGTGCATTGTGCTCATAGTGATATACTTTTGATAGAGGGGATCAGCTGAGGACAAGCAGAAACACATTACATAGAGATGGACAGGGGGGAGCAGGAGGAGGGGGTAAAATGAAGCAGTGTTTATCTCTTGATTTCTTTTCACCAGAATCTCACTCTCATCCCTTTTTAATTCATGCTGTTGCTTTCTTAGACCTACCCTCTATTTGCCCTCTGCTTCTTCCATCCTCCACTTACTTTATCTCTCCTTACACACGCTTTACCCAAACAGAGGTAGGCAGAGAGGCAGGATGAATGATGAGTGGACGAGGGAATTTTCGCTCCAATCCAGTGCAAAGCAGAGCAGAGACAGAGACAAACAGCAGGGCCCTGTGAATTAAAGATGACAGGAGCCTGCTGCTCGTGCCTGGGCAGGCTAGCCGGACACCGAGGAAGGAGTACAGCAGCCGAACACAGGAAAATAGTGACGCTCAAGAGCATGCAGTGAGAAAAACATGAAAGCAGCAGATGGATTTGTTTACCTTTGGAAAAAGCTGCCATCCCCTTTCCAAGAATGAGCACAGACATGCAAGGACAGGTTTGAATGAACACACACTCTCCTAAATGTCCTTACGACCCATAATGTCCTCACAATGCAGTGAGATAGCAGACACAACAATCCACACACAATGTCCTCACAAGGCAGCAAAATGTGAGACTCAACCATACACATCAAACGCACCCTTACAAACCCCATTGTCCTCACAGGGCAGATAACCATACACATAAACACACACCCAGGATGTCATTACAAACCACAATGTCCTCACAAGGTAGTGAGATCTCAGACAAAACCATGCACACCCAAGCATATAAAGTTTCACAAAACTATGCTTTTTTTCTGAAACACTCTTGTGCCACGGATCAATAGAGAGTCATAATGGTGTGTGTGTGTGTGTGTGTGTGTGTGTGTGTGTGTGTGTGTGTGTGTGTGTAAGGAGTTTGGGGAAGTGAGCTGGCTAACTGGGGTGTATCCCATGGAGTTTTGCTGTCTCTGTTACTGTGTTTACGTGAGAAAATTACAAGCAGGAAAGCTCGATTTCCTGTTCTCATCAGAAATGCAATGCTGATACTATACATCAGGAAATAGAGTTTGTTTACATTCAGCAACACTTGCGCTGTGTCTTGCACGAATATCTGCTTGCTTGTGAGTCCTACTGTATACCTGATTATTTTGCTGTGAACCTTGTCACTGCTATCAATGCACAGAAAATAAATCTACAACAGCATCTGATTCCACCATGCTTTTTTCCTCCCTCTAGGCTAATTCTTACAGGTTTGTCCTCTTGTATGCCGTAAGAGGTCCATATCAAAGGCACCATCCAGTCCAGCAACAAGCATCCACTGAATCAGACCCAGGGACTCTGTCCAATCCTGTACTCGAGCTCTTCCATCTGTGTTCTTATGACCGTCACTGACTACTGGACTCCTCCTGGCAGGGCTCTCGAAATCTTCTCCTCAGCCTTTTACGACTCATCAAGCTTTCTCCAGCCAGCACTCTCTTCCACCTCTCTAAATTCTCCAGTACCACACCCTCCTGGACTTGGATCCTTTGGCTGACTGTGACTGCTCATATCAAAATCAATACAGGAGGCTGCTGTTGATGATTTCACTGTTGAATAGGTGTGTGGAGTTTCCCTGCAGTAACCAGTCTCTCTGCACGTACACACACACACACACACACACACACACACACACACACCAACACACACACACACACACACACACACACAGGGCCTATATATATATATATATATATATAGATATATATACATACTAATACTTCTTTAAGGTTACCTTGGGGAAAGATGGTCAACCTTTTCCTGATGCAGGGATCAAAAGAAAAGGGGAAAGTTGGTAGAAAATATGGAGAAGGATAAAATCTTTGCCTGGAGGAAAAAATGTATATGTAATTTCATTTAAGCAATAGAAATCTGTTCATAAATGAGCAGTGGCTATGCTGCAGTAAAATTTTAGTTAGAGGGCAACAGAAGACTCGAGAGTAAATGTGTGCAAAATTCAGGGAGAGCCGTATCGGTTACAGTTCATTACTATTGTATGTGCATGTGACCATGTGAGCGTGTATAGGCATGTGTCTGCCAGTGTACGTATATGTATGTTTTTACATGTGCAAATTTGTGCAACTGTAGGTGTGTCTACATTTGTATACATGCACGTGTCTTTTGTGTGAGATAGAGTGAGCCCATTTCATTATTCCCCTGTGTTTACAGACAGATACTGGACAGGCCTCAGTGAGCAGCCTGTGCTTCATTATCCCACGCTGCTATGGGGAGACACAGATCACAGGACATGCACAGCCATCACACACACACACACACACACACACACACACACACACACACACACACACACACACAACAGCATCCCACAGGGATCTTTAAGAGGGTGTGACGACAGGGAGTTTTTATATTTGAGAATTTTGATGGCTGACTTTTTCAGTGTCTGCCTCAATCTGAAATGAATAAAACAAGAATCTTGCACATTTGTTTTTTCCTCAGTCATAACCTCTGACGCACCGTTGAGATGCAGCAGAGAAAAAATTCAACTTAAGTTACCAGGAAACAAAGTTAGTGTTGGAGATAATGCCTAAATGAGCATCCAGTTTGTCTTGTTAAATGTTACTTCATAATTACTCTGTCTTTTAGTAGGGAAGAACTGTATGCAGACTCACCCTGTCCTCTTCCTCTCTAAGGTCTGGCATGGTACTGATACACAAGCTCACGACAGTCACCGCAACCATGATCACTGACAAGCAGGCGAAGATCTTCCCCGGTAAGCCAGATTGCGGATTCTCCACCATATCTCTCAGCCAGTTCATCACCTTACGGTACCTTGTTTCCTCCACCGGCACACGCTGCATGGCGTTTCTCTGCCTGCGCTCCTCCTCACGCCGCTCCTGTTCATGCACCTCCTCAATGCGTGTGTACATCTTCCTCTTGCAGCAGCGCTCCATGTATGCCATCTCCACACCCCAGTAGGCCAGTTCATCATGCAGGGAAAGGACGCACATTTCCCTCAGCAGACGCAGTTTCCCCGCAGCCAGGAAGTTGAGGATGACTCTGAAGGCGGACGGCGAGCGGTCAAAGAAGAACTCCTTGCGGGCTTCGTCATAATCGTCGCAGACCCTGGCGATGTCCTCAGGTGACCGGCAGCCACAGAGTCGGCCAAGTCGGGTGAGGGGGAATTGCTCTAGGGTGCTCCAGGGGAAGGTGTAGCGGTTCCCCCCGACGTTGATCACTGCTAGCATGCCATGGTCGACGGACACCAGGTCCTCTGGCCGACGGATGAACTGAGCCCTCTGGTAGTACACACCCTGGAGAGTGAGAAATTAAAAGCTTCAATGCATGAGAAGCTGCATCTGAGATATTTGTGTGAACAATTTGTTTTCCAGAATTTTATCACTGATTTGATATAATTCTTTTCCTTCGTCCTTCTCTTTTACTCATACCTTGATGGTCTCAGTTTCAGGGATCTCAGTGAAGATGCGGTCGAGGCTGCTGTCATCACTGAGGGACAGATTGCTGAAGTCATGGTTGGCGTTGCTGATGATGGGCATGGCAGCATCTGGAAAGCACGCTGCTCCGGACTGGGCAGCTTAGGGGAAGTGGTGATGACAGAAAGAGTCTACAGCGCTAAACTTTTCAGTCTCAGGACACAACAGTCCTTTCTGTATTGCCGCCTCCAACCTTTTACATTAAAACTTGCCCATGAGGAAAATTTTCATGCCCATGCTCAGTTCTACTGTACTGTACATAAGCTGAACAAAGAAAGAACAGTCGTAGCTTTCTGTGTCTATGGTCTCACAGCCAGCTCATAACAAGGAGTTTTCTCAAGAACAGACAATATATGGCTTTGGCTTCCAACCAAGAGAGTGAAAAAACCCAGAGAGGAGAGGAATGAGGAGAGTCAGGAAACCTGTTGTCACATTTGAATGTGAGTGGGTTTTGATGTTGCAGTCAGAGGTCTACAGTAGACTCAGCTGGTGCATCAGGATTCAGCATCAAATCAATAGGTAATCCTGGTGTAAAGCGAGAGTCTGGAAAAGGAAAGCCTGAATATAGAGAGTGGGTTAGGACTGATCAGCGGCTGATAGCTACAGAGGAAGATCGAGATCAGTCAAAGATCAAAATGTGTGGCGGTGATGTGTCCTGGGACTGAGGGGGATCCTCTGTGTCGCCGCAGCAGGATTAGGGAGGGCCTAGACACGTGGTGGCATCATGCAGGCACTGAGAAGGAGACAGAGAGAGAGAGAGAGAGAGAGAGAGATGTCAGAATGGAGGTAGGATGGACTGAGACTGAGGCAGGTGTCACAATAAAGAAGAAAATGGGCAACGAATAAAAAAGACAGATGGTGTGAAGGCAGTAAAGGTTGAGGAGGAGACAGAGAGCACACCTCAGTGAGGCTGCAGTGCTCTAGGCTCCACCCACATCTTTCACTCCCTCTCAGTGAGAATCAAGAAAGACAGACACATTAGCTCTGCTGCTATAAAAGTACAGTCACTGTGTTTCATACAGGACTTCAACTGATAGTGAAGGAGTTTACAGTGAAAGCAAATTCCATTAATGGCAGTGTGGTGGCCTTACTTGGCATGGCTGTTAGAAAATTTAAGGAATAACAGTAGAAAAGAACATTCAGGTTGTGTGGTGTTAGTCACACTTTGAGTGAGTTACTGGCTGTTGAAGATGGGCAGCAATCCTTGCAACACACACTGAAACACAGGGTCCAAAATGTTTTTCTTGGCAATACGACTGCCCTGGAACTTATTGGCACTGTTAGCTGTCACACTTGCCCAGAATGGTTTGCTGTGTATCGAAGCCTTAAATAGTTTTGGTTAATTCCAAACTGGGTCTTATTATCCCAGTATTTTTCATTCACTGACAGCATCTAACTTGCAGTTCATTTATTTTCCTACTATGCACCATGCATGAAAAACGACATTTAACATAGCACAAATGTAATTAATAATGTTAATAAAGGCTGCATTTTAAATATGCAGTACCTGTGCCTTTCTTGCTATGACAAGTCACAATATCTGCAGTGAGAAGGGTTTGTCATATAAATTATTACATAATTCTACATTTGTTATTTAAATTTGACTCCTTTTCATTTTATTATTACAAGACACAGCAAAATGTGTGTCAGTGAGTTGCACAACATGCTGATACAACTTAAATCTCTCAGTCTTTATATAAAGGTTTTAGTATTGTCTTTGTGATGGGTTTTACAAGCAGCCCGTTGTTCCCATTTCTCATTAAACGTCGAGTGTTTAATTCTCAGAACGTGTGCTAATTCTGCGTGTTGATATATGTGTTTTTATTCGACAGATCAGTCAATCAGACAATCAGCTCCTAAATCTTTACAAATCAGTCTGCAGAGGTTGTAGGCGAGAATGTTTTTTGGTACTGAGTGTTGTAGTGGCAAATGATGAAAGAGGAAGGCCTGGGCTGAAACAGCTGGCATTATCCTTTGAGACACATTGTTCAGTAGCTTGTTGTGTCCAGCTACTAACAATGCAGCTGACTTATGTTTGGGGCGGCTGCCTTGCACTTTTCCCCTGCCACCTTTTATTGTGAATATGAAGGTATAATAGAATTTCTACACATGCCACAGCAATTTCAGTTAAGGCAGAATCTCTAAGGGCAAGTCCACACTTTTCTACCCATTTCTACACACACATGTAGGTACACGTTTCCCCTGTGAAAATGCAACACTCATCCTGTCACTGTGACTAGCCCTGACTCACAACCCTGATGGTGAGCACAGCGGGTTGTCCTGTAAGACTAACACAGACCTGGGAGTTTCTCAGAGTTACACAAACACTGCTCACAGTAAGACGAATATTATCAACAGCCTTCACATTATTCTGCACAGTAGCTATCTACAGTAACCACAGGCTTATTGAATGTGTGACTGGACAGTGCAGACAGTTTGAAGCATTGGAACGCACTAACATGCTTTACTAATTTAGATCCAGGGTAGGATCCTGTACTGGAGGAACCAATAAATCACCTCTGTCATAGTGCTGGTGTTTCATTTCCACCTCACAGAGGGAGGGGAGTATGATAAACTATTTATTAATCGATCTGTATTCCCTGTGGATGTGGCTGGTTTTTCATAGTGGAAAGTTAATTGAAGGAGGTGTTTTTAGCAGCACACTGGTGTGAGCAGCTTTACTGCACCTCCTGGCTCTGCACTGGACACTAATGACAGACAGCTGAGGAAGGATATCATTAGCTTGTTCTGTTATTATCAGGAGTTGAATCATGTGAAGGTTGACATTTTGCAAGATTAATTTATTCCAAACACATGCAAAGTACTGTTGAACTAAATCAAACTTATATAAAAGTTCTATAAAAAAATTGGGCATAAACAAAAAACACAAGTCCATAACTCAATACTTTTTAAATTTAATTTTTGTGTATATTGACAAGGAGTTTTTTATGACGAGGTAATTGATGAGTTCATACTCATTCAGCACTCAGTCAGTCAGCTTATATTATATTCATGGGCATGTCAACAGTGGCTGCAATTGCCAGGAGCTGGTTGAGAGTCCCACGTCTCGTATGGATGGGTTGCTTTAATGCAGGAAAACTCTCTCTCTCTCTCTCTCTCTCTCTCCCTCTTTCTCTTTCTTTCTCTCTCGCTCTCTCTCACTCTTAACTTGCAAACGTGCGCGCGCGCTCACACACACACACACACACACACACACACACACGCACATTTTGCGCCTTTATCAAGCCTAGACATTTAATTAAACTGGGCGTTAAATTGGGCGCTTAATTAAGATCTCATAACGATAATTTGTGGAAAGGAAAACAAACAGTGAGGGCGCCTAAAGTCAAAGTCGGATGTTGTTTAAAGGGTACTGTACATGCCTCTCTCAAGCCTATTGTGGTTTTTAAGAAACCTCCTTCTGGATCAAACACTGTAACAATTTGTCTTAACCTGCTTTATGACGCCGTGTTGACGAGGTGAAGAGAAACCAGCATTTCTCATTTTAAGTATTGAGGCAGCGCATTACAACTTCAGACTAATGCAAAGCTACGAACACAACCCCCGCAGACATCACTGTAACTTATGAAGTGCAGCTTACCATCCGGTGCCCCGCACTCATCTCCAGACGTCCAAACCAGCTCGGTGTGAAATCCCTGTGTTGCCTCGCAGTCCCTCCGATGATTCAACACCAAATCAGGGTGTCACCGACCATTTCCGACCGCCACATTTAAATGATAATAACAAAGATACCTCTCCGGTATCCGCATCATCCAAGCCGGTGTAATGCGCGCAGACAGTCTTGACATACCAAGCGGGTAAAGGTTTGGTGCGTTGAAAGTGTCCCGTTAGTGGTGCTGCAGGAGGAGGAGGAGGAGGAGTAGGGGAGGGGGGGAGTAGGAGCCACGGTGCGCAACAGAGGAGACTCCGGGTACCCAGGTTCAACTTTGCGTAAAGGTGACGACAAGCGTAATTGTGACCGGGAGCTCCCGATTAGAGAAAATAGGTATTTTAACAGAACTGTATGAAGAGAGTGGCTCTTAGAGTCCGCTCGAAATCTCTAGTTTTGCTTTTGGATCGTATAAAATTCAAGGACACTGAGGAGATGCTCTCAATGTTTCCTGCCCTGATCGCCTCGCGCGCAACAGGGGGCGCGGTTGCCTCCCAAATTACCTTCACTAAAGGTTGGACAGAAATCTGCAGTGAAGCACCAACTGACAGGCTACAATTTGTCTGTTATCATATAACTGACATGATTTATAGTTACACCAATAAATCATGACGTTGACGAAAACGCAATTTAAGAAAGGATAATATCACTTACTTACTGATACTGTGTTACTCAGGCTGGATTTTTTCGATGTGCTGTCTGAACCATGTAGATATGTCACATATGAAACATTTAAAATTAGCCAGTTGGCTGCTTGGAGCTGGGAGATAAACTTATGGTCTGAAGCAGCACTTTTCTGTGTCGAATTCATCTGGATTTTTTCAACATAAGTATGTTTTTTTTTTTTTGAAGTAATCTAAAAGTAGTGCTATTTATAATGGTTTGTTTTTGTAGCCTATATGTATTACCAAAGCTGCATGTTATGTAAAATAATCCTCTGTGGGATGGGCCAAATGTTTGGCATGACACAAAAATAAAAACAAACTTAAATTTGAATGCCACATAGAAGAGAAGATCTCTGTTCCAAGCAGGAAGGGCGGTGATAGTGACAGTGAACAGCTGGCCAAACTTCTGGCTGTGAAATAAGTGAATAGACCTCAGTGTGCACAAGTGACTTTGAAAACCCTGACTGTTCCAGACCGACACATGCAGTATCATGCCAACCTCTGCAAAACTGGCACCAAATTTGCACAAGGTGAAAGGTCAGAAAAAAATATATCATTATGCTTGCAGATTTATCTGAGTTGCCGCCCTCACACACACACACACACACACACACACACACACACACACACACACACACACACACACACACACAAACACACTTTGTCCTTGAAAGGCAGCTCATTAGGTTGCATGTGCCTGAGGGAACAGCTAAAACAAGCAAACACTTTGTCCAGGCCCTTACGGCTGCTAACGGAGCAGACAACACATTAGTGAGGGTAGAGATGGAAACTGAAGAGGTAGGGATCTGTATATGTGTGTGTGCATGCGCATGTGTGTCAAGAACAGAGGTGTTCATCTTATTGAATCCCTCCATCACTATTCATTAACCTACAGTGCAGCATATGCCCAGGGCTGGTTAGTGCAACATGAGACTGATCACACACGCTGGGCTATTCTCAGTCAGCTTCTTTTTTTTTTTTTCAAAAAGAAGATGACGTTTTAGGTTCCCTGCCATCTGCCTCAGAGAGACAGTAATAGAATAAGATATTTGCATTCTGTCTGTCATTTTCTTCTGTTATTCAGACACAAAACACAGGTACACACACGGACAGAGAGGCATAGTTCTGGCACAGGTGGTAGATAGGGAACACCCAAGTCCTCCAACACTAAACCAGCTAACTTGTTTATCAGGCCCCTCTGTTTCCCTGCCTCATTGTTTCTTTTTTATTAATCTCACACACATCCATACCTGCAGCTGCCCACACACACCACAATGCCAATACACCAGAAGCCAGCACAGACATGCACACATGCAATAGAAAACACAAAGATAGCCGCAGCCCTGTTGGTACTAATAGCAGGCTTCAGTCTGGCGGATTAAGAGTTTAATCCCTCACAGGCAAGAGGGGGCTGAGATGAGATCGCAGCAGCCGGTGTGCCGGGGTCTGATGCGCAGTGGTGTGAGGTGCATGCAGGAGAGGAACAATGAGTCACTCAGCTATTTAAAAACCGTTTGAACACACACTTTCACAAGGATGGCCACCTGAAGGTCCCACCCGATAGCCCTGTCCAACTTTTCCAACCTCTAAGCTCTAAACCTCACTCTTCTTTCTGCCTCTCCCCTGACTTTTCAGTGTCTCTTCTCTCTGCAATTCTCTAACCGCCCTCCCCTGCTGAAATTTGTTTGATCTCTGCACTCGCAAGTTTTGATCAGGTTAATTGCTCTCTCAGCAGACGATGTGAATAGACAGATTAACACTCAGCACTAAGGATGGAATAAAGAGACGGGAGGGGAGGGGGGAGGCAAAGGGACAGAAATGAAAAGAGACAGAATCGGGATAATGGATAGGCAGAGGTGAAGATGAGGCTAGGCGTTTGATGGGAAAAGGAGAGGGAAAGGTTGACATGGGGAGAAACATCTTTTACAGGGCAACAAAAGAGATGATGAGAAGACAAGTGGGAAAGCAAGGGTGGAATTAAAAGGAGAGGAGGACAGGCTGATGAAACACAGTGGCGTGCTGTCAGGACAAGCAAGGCAAGCAATGCTTGACCAGTTAAAGCTAAAAATAGATTTCGACTTACAGTGGTCTGTCCTTAAATGATCTGATTTTGCCTGTTTACATTCATCTTGTAATTTACTGTCCTCTTGTGGCTGCAGTAGGCCACTGTCTCTTGAAGCTAGCTTGACTACCAGCCATTGCATCTATCATTTCTGTCATTTTCGAGCAGCATCTTTTGGAAGTTTGCATATGCGCATTGAGGATAATCCTGGAATCTTTGACGGGTGACTAGTGAGATATTGCACACATTATTTTGCACATGCACAGATGTGTGTGGAAACTACTTGTGCATTAGAAAATTACTTCCCAGTCTTTTCTTCCTCAAGCCCCACATATATTTTCTGCATCCTCTTCAGCGGACAGCCCCCTACGTTTCTCCCCCATCATACTCCATTCCAGTTGGTGGCAGTAATGCACCACAACATTGTTAACCAATTTTGTAATCTGGAGCATGCGCAGTCCATGCACTTGTTAAACGCGCAGTTTGTACGGTCACAAATTTTGGTCTGCATGTGGACATTCACGAAGGGACATTTATGAACGTGGACATCAGCGAATGACAACATTTGCGTCACGTGGACACACGGACACGCAGATGCAGAAGGTATGAATTGGAAAAGGTGTTGAGAGGTAGCAGGTAGCAACAGTAAGTAAATGAGCAAATTACATTGTGATATATCATCTCAAATTGATCAGTGTTTGATGACAAGGAGTTCGGGTGTATTGTGTAGCGCCTTTTAATAACTCCTTTTGTAAGGTAAGCTTTCACAGATATTCATCAAATTACATATTTTCAGTTAATCTTGTAACTTAATACCCAAGGCTTTTAATTCTGTTCCGCCTTTTAGTTATCACATTAATCTTTTCCTCTCCGTTGATCAAGATGTGCAAGATCGACAGTAAGTGGAGAAGTTTGAGAAGGCATGCTGAGGCAGGAAAATGCAGGATTCTGCATTGTTACGTGATTGTTTCATTGTCAGTTAATGGTAAATATTTTTGTCTTAATATTTTGTAAATATTTTCTGTATACTGTTCATTTGATGTTACTGTCAGTTCAAAGAGTTAATCCTGAAACTTCTTCAGCCAGGAAGGAGTGTAGAAAGGTGAAGATGTCCAGGCAGAGTGCAGCAAGATGCAGGAGAGAGTTTAAGATCGGCAAAGACAGGCAGAACAAAATCATGAGAGAGGACAGGCCCTGAATGAAAGAGGTCTAGTCAGGGTAGTGAACAGCTGAATCTCATATTGAGATGGTGGTTTATGGGAGGAGGGGGGGAGGGTGATTAGTTGGTTCTTCGGCTCTGCTTGCCTACCGCACACCTCTGATGAAACACTAAGTTAACAGGGGAAGACAGCGTTTGCATCAGGTCTGTTTGAATTTGTGTCTCTGATAAAAAGGTTCATATGATCCCAAGATAATGATTTCTTTTCGTATGAATTAATCATCTAAACACTCTTGTGCTTTGCCTGAAATCTTTTGGTTTACATGAGACTTGTCTCGTACGCTGCCAGGCAAAAACTGCTCATATATGGACAAATGAGGATTCACAGCAGCAGTGACATACAGTACACACCTTGTAACACAGTTTAGCCCAGAAGACCTTGACAAATAGCTCTGAGACACAGAGTAACTGGCAGGTCTTAACAATGTTACAGTGATTAGATTAGATCAGAGTGGATGATTGCTGCTCCAAACATCACTTGACTTAAATTGAAACTGGATTGCAACAAAAAATAAGACACAGCCATACTAGTTGCTCTGCAAGACTGTACTCAAGCTAAATACTTTACTCGAGCTAAATGTGTATATCAGGATGCTAACATACAATGATAATGCTTGCATGTACTTTAACAGGTTTGGCAGGTGTAATGTTACCACATTCACCGTCTTAGTGTTAGCATACTAACATTTGCTAATCAGCACTAAACACCAAGTATAGCTTAAGCTGATGGGAATGTCATTAGTTTTGCAGGTACAGAGAAAAAAATTTTTACAATTCATCCCCTTGTGACCATGAATGTGATTGAGAAATTTCACGCCAATCCATCCAATAGTTGTTGATACATTTTGATAAAAAACTAAAAAAAAACCTGGCGATCAGAGGCTGATCAAAGCCATTAGAATTTATCCTCTGGGGATCATGAATAACTTTACAAAATTCCATCACACCCAAAGCAATAGTTGTCGAGATGACCAACTGACTGACATGGCTGGTTTTTGTAATTCACCTGTCTCTTTACTTAAGCATTATGTTTAACCTATACGTTCAGCATCACTTAATGTTTCACTTGCATGTGTCATCCTGCCGCCCACGCTCAGCGCATTACTGCACTGATTTTGAGAAGATGTTTTGCTGTGTCTTAACTTGCTGCTGCACATCAGGTAGACTGCTGAGTACATTGCCCCC